GACCCGCCCCGGCCCCGCCCGTCGGCGACGCCACGCTTCCCGGTCCGCGTCTGGCCCCACCTGGAGCCAGGGCGCGGGGAAGGCTAGGGGCCGGCAAGGGGCCAGGCCTGCCCACTGTTCCGCCGCGGGGACACCCAGACGAACCTGACATGGGACTGAGCACTGACCTTAGAGGGTATGGAGGCCGGGTCTGTAATGTAAGAGGGCCCTTGGGGCACCATGAGGCGGTAGCACAATTGCTTCGTTAACTGTCTCCTGTCTTGAAGTTTTATGTTCCCGCGACTCCACGCCACTACCCCCGGGTTTACTCACATTAAGGGAGCATTAATAGACTGGTGTGAGCTAACATCTAGAACATTTTCCTGGTCTGTTTTCTAGAGCTTCCGAGCTACCAAGGACTCCAGATAAACTTAAACAGGGATGAAATTGCTACCCATAACCTGAGAATTGACCTGTTTCCAGGATTTGGAGTCCATGGGGTGAGCTGATATTGTTAATAATTTTATATTTCTGAGTAGTTTCAGTTTTTCAAAAATTAAGATGAAATTCATGTAACATAAAATTAACCATTTTAAAGTTTACAATTCAGTGGCATTGAGTACATTCACAGTATGGTATGAAGTCATGAAGATTTTCCTCTGTCTTTTCTTCTAAGATTTCCGAAGTCATGAAGATTTACCTCTGTCTTTTCTTCTAAGAGTTTTATGGTTTTCACATTTACTTTTAAGTTCTTGATCCGTTTTGAGTCAATTCTTGTATATGGTGTGAGGTCTGGTTCCAGCTTCATTCTTTGGCATGTGGATATCCAGTTGTCCCAGCACAATTTGTTGAAGAGTCTATTCTTTCCCCCAGTGAGTGGTCCCAGCCTCCTTGTGAAAAATCGATTAGCCATACCTTTAGTGTTGTTGTCTGAGGCTCAGTCCCTAATCTGTCCTCATCTGCAACCTCTGGTTTAGAATTTCTGGTTCCATGATGACTTACTAAAAGATGCAGAATCCAACCTTGAGTAAAGCTTTTACTCAATACTGTACAGTTGCAGCATCTAAAAGGAAATAGAGCTGGAACTTTATCAGAGTTATGAAACAGACTGTATGAAATATTTTGTGCCTATTTTGCTAATGAATGTTAGTCTAATAAATATCTGTCCGTTGGTTTAAAAAAATCAATTGGCCATAAATAAATGGGAAAACCCCCCAAATTTTAAAAGCTGTTTAAATGAGAATTAACCTAAAATGGAAATGGAGCAGGTCAGCATTTTGGCAGACAAAATATTACAATTAACAGAAAGAAGTATTAAATTATAAGTTCTTAAAAATGTAAGGGTACTTGAGGGCCACAAGCTCCGACTCTAACTGATATATGAAACTTCTCTGCAGAATCCCCGAGAAAGGACTGCCCGCCCTGGTTTGTTGTTGTTGTTTGGGGAACTTTCAGTATTGTACTTTATTGAGAAGTTGGATTTCAGCTCCTAATGTGGAGTATGAAGCCTCATAAAATGAGTTAGGAAGTATTCCCTCTTCTATTTTCTGGTAGAGTTTGAAGGGGGTTGGTATTAATTCTTCTTTAAAGGTTTTGCCAAATTCACCCAGAGAAGCCATCTGATCCAGCCTTTGGAGAGATTTTTGATCATTGATTCAATCTCTTTACTTTTCATGGATTTGTTCAGGTTTCCTATTTCTTCCTGCGTCAGTTTTGGTAACTTGTGTGTTTCTAGGAATTTATCCATTTCCTCCAGATTATCTAATTTGTTGGGTGTATAATTGTTCATAGTATTCCCTTATAATCCTTTTTTTTCCCACAAGGGTCATAGTAATGTCCCCACTTCCATTTCTGATTTTAATTATTTGCATCTTCTCTCTCTTTAAGATTAGTAGTCTGGTGAAAGATTTTGTCAGTTTTATTTAGCTTTTCAATTTTTTTCACTTTAGTTATTGTACATTTCAGGTCCAGAATTATTTCTATTTGTTTCCTTTTTATAGTTTCTCTTTGTTGATATCTTCTTTTTGTTTATACATCAGTTCTTCTCTGGCTTCCGTTAGCTCTTTGTCCACAGTTTCCTTGAGCTATTTGAGCATATTTAAGACAGTTCATTTAAAGTCTTTGTCTTAGCAAGTCTAATGCCTGGGCTTCCTCAGGAATGATTTCTGCCAAATTATTTTTCCTGTGAATGACTCATCCTTTTTCTTTGTATGCCTTGTAATTTTTTATTGAAAACTAGGCATTTTGAATATCGTGGTGGCTCTGGAAATCAGATTTGGTACTTCTTGGCAAGGTTTACTATTATCGCTTGTTTAGAGTTTTAGCCATCTGTTTATTTGGTGACATTTCCAAACTATTTTTGCAGACTGTATTCCTATCATGTAGTCACTGAGGTATCTATTCTATTATCTCATTCGTCAGCCACTGACTTGACACAGATTTTCTTAAACAGCTGGAGCCAAAAAAAAAATCCCCTCAAATTAGAAAAACTCTCTCCTGGTCTTTGCAGATTGGCTCTGAGCTGGGCACTCCTGCTGTGCTTAACCAGGCCACCTGCAACACTAACTCAGCCTTTACTCCCTGCTTGCACGGAGCATCAGCCAAAAGTTCAAGCCTAGGGTCCTCTCAGGTCTTTTCTGAGCATGTGTGTCTGGCCCTGGACGTGTGTGTTGCAGTCTGGATTCCCTGGTATAAGAAGTAGCCCTTTAAAGCCCTGATTCTTCCAGTATATTCGTCCTCAGCCTTCCCCTTCCCAGACTTTTTGCTCTGTCTGTTGCTTAACTCCATCTACTGCTCCTTGCCCCAGACAACTATGGATACTAAATGTCTTTAAATGCTTTCAAAAGGTGCCGCCTGGGAAGCTGCTCCAGGCTGAGGAGGGTGAAGCAAAGGTTCACCTCTGCACCAGCCCTTCAGGGAACTGCCAGCTGGGCCAAAATGTACAACCACATTTTTGAGAATGAGGTCTGTACTGCCCCCCCTGGCACCAGCAAGCCACAGCAGGAGTTCAGGCTGTCATCCCCATGGCTGCTGCTGGGCTGGGTGGGGAATGGGAGATGGTAGGTCGGTAAGCAAAAATGCTGCAACAATTTCTTACTGAAATTTAGCAGCCTCTTTCTTCATAAATCGCTTCCTGGTTGCTCGATGTTTTTATTAGATTCCAGAGTTCCAAAAAAGCTGATTCTGTCAGTTTTTGCCTGCTTAATGGTTGCTTAAGTGGAGGGACCAATTCTTGGAGCTCTTCATCTGCTGTTTTCCACTACATTACTCCTAAGTAGCCTCACTTTTATCACTCATCACTATGGATTGCAGTTTTCTCCTTGAAAGCGTGCTCTCCTCGTTTCCCTCCTTCATGGGAGACTTCACCTCCTCTGCCCATCCTTGTTTCCAGGCATCAGTGGAGTTCTGTCGTCACTATGCACTGTGCACTGTGCACTGGGGAATCCAGCCATGCCCCGAGCTGCCACCCCTATGGTGATGAATCTCCAACTTAGTCCTCTCCCCAGAGCCCCAGACATGTGGGGCTCAGAAATCCCACAGACCACTCTAGGTGAAGCCATGTGAGTAAGTTCTGGCTAATAGGATGGAAGATGAAGGGGTACAGCCTTACTGTCATTCTTTTTTCTTTTTTTTTTTTTTCTTACTGTCATTCTTCTTGCTGTCTGGAATGTGGAGGTGATAGCCTGAGCTCAGGCAGCCATCTTGGACCATGACGACTGCAAGGATGGAGAATCAACAAAATAACAAAGTGGAAGGAGCTCTGTCTTTGATGATTGTGGAGCCACTGGCTTAGAATTGCTTACCACCTTACTTTGTCTCAGGAAGGGAAAAACAATTTTATCATGTTCAGGCCGTGGTTATTTTGTGACTCCCTCACATGGAACTAAACCAAACTTGGTTAATGCATGAGACCTTTCCAGCCCCATTCCCCTTACACTGTTGCTCCACCAGCTCTACCAAATTACATGCAGCTGTCTTTGCTAGCATTCCTTTGCACAGCATCTACTGCAGGGTGATACAGAGAGCCCATCACCTGTCTCCCTCACTTCCTGTAAACATCTCTGGAGCAGAGACCGTATCTTTCTTGGATAACTGCCAAGTCAATGTGGTTGACTTCTTTAGGGCCAGAAAAAGAGGGATAGGGAATGGATATTTATTGGATCCCAGTTATATGTACTTTATATTTTATTTGTCTAGCTATTGGAACACTCTATAAGGAGTGGGACATTATTATTGCTCTTTTGCTGGTGGGGAAATGGAAGTTCATACAGACAAAACTGTTTCCAAAATATGCATGAATAACAAGTGGCAGATTTAACCGTGGAACCCAAGTCCGTCTGACCTGCTGCTGCAGCCCTCTTGGCCCACTTAGAAGATTCCATGTCAGTTCATGGGCTGGGCTGTGGCTGAGTGATCTTTGATGAATTATTTCCCTTCTTGGTTCTCCTTTGAGGTCGTCACACTCAGCTGCTTTTCACATGCTGGTTTGTGAAGGATGAGTAAGCACCTTCCTGAAGCTGACCTCAGTTTGGGAATGGATGGCCTCTGCTTCAGGTTTTGGTGTTCAGGGGATTTTGAGGTTCCTCAAAAATTAAAAATAGAACTACCATATGATCCAGAAATTCCACTCCTAGGCATTTATCCAGAGAAAATGAAAACACTAATTTGAAGAGATATACGCACCTCAGTGTTTACTGTAGCATCATTTAAAATAGCCTTGATAGGGAAGCAACCTAAGTGTAAATAATGTGTAATTTTTTGAGGAACCTCCATACTGTTTTCCATAGTGGCGACACCAATTTACATTGCTACCAGCAGTGCTCAAGGGTTCCCTTTTCTCCACCTCCTTGCCAATACTTCTTATTTATTGTCTTTTTGATAACAGCCATTCTCACAGGTGTGAGGTGATATCTCATTGTGGTTTTTGATTTGCATTTCCCTGATGATTAGTGATATTGAGCATTTTTTCATGTTTATTTCTGGGTTCTCCATTCTATTCCATTGATCTAGGTGTCTGTGCCAGTATCATACTGTTTTGATGACTGTAACTTTATAATATAGTTTGAAATCAGGGAGTATGGTAACCTCCAGATTTGTTCCTCTTTCTCAAGATTGTTTTGGCTGTTTGGGGTCTTTTGTGTTTCCATACAAATTTTAGAATTATTTGTTTTGTAAAAATATCATGGATATTTTGATAGGGATTGCATTGACTCTGTAGATTGTCTTGGGGAATATGGTCATTTTAACAATGTTAATTCTTCTAAACTATGAGCATGTTATAGCTTTCCGTTTGTTTTTGTCTTCCTTAATTTCTTTCATCAGTATGTTACAGTTTTCCAAGTACAGGTCTTTTACCTCCTTGGTTAGATTTATTTCTGGGTATCTTATTCTTTTTTATTCAGTTGTAAATGGGATTGTTTTCTTAATTTTTCTTTCTCATAGTTTGTTGTTACTGTATAGAAATACAACAGATTTCTGTATATTGATTGTGTATCCTGTAACTTTACTGAATTATTTCTTAGTTCTAATAGTTTTTTGGTAGTGTTTTTAGGGTTTTTTATATATAGCATCATGTCATCTAAAAACAGTAACAGTTTTACTTATTCCTTTCCAATTTAAATTCCTTTTATTTCTTTTTCTTATCTGATTGCTGTGGCTAGGACTTCCAGTACTATATTGAGTAAAAGTGATTAGAGTGAGTATCTTTGTCTTGTTCCTGATCTTAGAGGAAATACTTTCAGTTTTTTATCCTTGTATATGCTGTTGGCTGCCAGTTTGATATGTGGCCTTTATTATGTTGAGGTATGTTCCCTGTATACCAACTTTATTGAGAGTTTTTACTGTAAAGAGAGATTGAATTTTGTCAAAAGCTTTATCTGCATCTATTAGGATGATACAATTTTTATTCTTCAGTTTGTTAATATGGTGTATCACGTTGATTGATTTGCAGATATTGAGCTATCAGTGCATCTCTGGCAGAAATCCTACTTGATCATGGTGTTTGATCCCTTTAATGTATTGTTGAATTTGATTTCCTAATATTTCATTGAGAACTTTACCATCTATGTTTATCAGTGATATTAGCCTATAATTTTCTTTTCTTGTGGTGCCTTTGTCTGGTTTCAGGTGAATGCTGGCTTCGAATGAGTTTGGAAGCATTCTTTCCTCTTCAGTATTTTGAATTAGTTTGAGAGGGAATGGTATTAATTCTTCTTTAAATATTTGGGAGAATTCACCTGTGAAGCAGTCTGGTCCTGGACTTTTGTCCGTTGGGAGTTTCTATTATTATTATTATTATTACTGATTCAATTTAATTACTGCTAATTAGTATGTTCGTATTTTCTGTTTCTTCCTGATTCAGTCTTGGAGATTGTATGTTTCTAGAAATGTATCCATTTCTTCTAGATCGTCCATTTTATTGGCATATAATTGTCCATGGTAATCTCTTTGTATTCTGTGGTGTCAATTGTAACTTCTCTTTCACTTCTGATTTTGTTTATTTGGGTCTGCTATGTGTTTTTCTTGATAAGTCTGGCTAAAGGTTTATCAGTTTTGTGTTTTTCAAAGAACCAGTTCTTAGTTTCATTGATCTTGTCTATTGTTTTCAAGTCTGTATTTCATTTATTTCTGCTTTGATCTTTGTTATCTCTTTCCTTCTGCTCAATTTGGGTTTTGTTCTTCTTTTTCTAGTTCCTTTAGGTGTAAAGTTAGATTGATTATTTGAGGTCTTTCTTGTTTCCTGAGGTAGGCTTGTATCATTATAAACTTCCCTCTCAGAATTGCTTTTGCAGTGTTCCACAGGTTTTGGATGACTGTATTTTCAAAACTTGAGCAGTTTCTTTGCCTCCCCTTTGAGCCATGCAGAGCCGCATTTCATGATATACCATGTTTGGATAATCTCACTGGTAGGGTTTCAGGACAGAGCCAGTCTGCCAGATATGAATCTCAGCCATGGACCTGTTGCTTGTGATGGATCTGCAGTATTGCCAGTCATGGGTGACACTGGACAGAAGGACACCCTGAAACAACTCTTTCTTTGATAGAGCTTTGTCAATATGTCTAGGAATTACCAGCAATTGCCTAAAACATTCCAGTCAATTCACATAATGACATCATATTTACATCATTTTCTTTGCATGAGAGCTAGGATGGTCTCATCTCTCCTCAGTGGATGTTTGTGTTATTTTAAGGAGTTCTTATGATGTCTGCTTTCACCATTTCAATAATTTAAGCCAGACATTTTCATACTTTCCATTTTGCTACCCCTTTATTACTCTTAAAACTGAGGATTCCAGAAAGCTTTTATTTATGTGGATTATATCTATCAATATTTACCATATTAGAAATTAAAACTGAGAGATTTAAAAAAACATTTAAAAGTAATAACAACTAATGACAGGTTAACATTTTTATGAAAAATAATTATATTTTACAAAAAAATTAGTGAGAAAAGTGGCACTGTTTATTTTTGTGGTGGGCAGAATAATGGCCCCCAAAGACATCTAGACCCTGTTCCCTAGAAGCTGTGATTATGTTACTTTAAATGGCAAAAGGGACTTTGTAGATATGATTAGGTTTGAGGACCCTGAGATGGGGAGCTTTCTTGGATCTAGGGGGGCTCAGTCACATGACTCCTTAAAGTGCTGAACCTTTCCTGGCTGTGTTGGAAGGAGAGGCAACCACTAAAGAAGAGTCAGAAGGAAATGCAATATTGCTGATCTGAAGTTAGACGAAGGAGACCTCAAGCCAAGAAAAGAATGTGGCCTCTAGAAGTTGGAAAAGGCAAGGAAACAGGTTCTTCATTTGAGCCTCAAAAAAGGAGTACAGCCCTTTGACACCTTGATGTTAGCCCTGTGACATATGTGTTGGACCTCTGACCTACAGAACTATAAAATGATAAGCATGTGTTGTTAAGCCACAAAGTTTGTGGTAATTTTTTAATAACAGCAATAGGAAACTAATACAACATTTTTGCAAATTTCTTTGATGTCTGGCTTATAAGAAGACAACTGGATACTCACACTTGCTTCTGCATTCAATCTTTTGTGATATGATGCTTTGCTTGAAGTATGTGAAGAAAATTTGACCTTGCATAGTTTTAAAGTTGAAAAACGTAAGAGTGTTTTAATAGTCTTTTCAGATCGTTGTGGATTATTCTGATACTACACTAAATGTAATGATTGTAATTTCTTAAATGTAGTTGCAGAGTGGAGTCTGAAATGATATCAATGAACTTTTTTTTTGATTGAAGTATAGTTGATTTACAATGTTGTGTTAGTTTCTGGTGTACATCAGAGTGATTATATATATATATATATATACACACACACACACATATATATATATATATTCTTTTTCACTATAGGTTATATTACAAGATATTGAATATAGTTCCCTGTGCTATACAGTAGGACCTTGTTGTTTATTTATTTTATATACAGTAGTTTGTATCTGCTAATCCTGAGCTCCTAATTTATCCTTCCCCCCTCTTTCCTATTTGGCAACCGTAAGTTTGATTTCTATGTATGTGAGTCTGTTTCTGTTTTATAAATAAGTTCATTTGTGTAATTTTCTAGATTTGACATATAAGTGATATCATATAATATTTATCTTTCTCTGTTTGACTTACTTCACTTAGTATGCTCATCTCTAGGTCCATCCATGTTGCTGCAAATGGCACTGTTTCATTCTTTTTTATGGCTGAGTAGTATTCCCTTGATGAACTTTTCATATCTATTACATTAAAATCCATTGATCTCTCCTGCACTTTATTAGATCTTTTACCCATGCATGATTTTATAACATCATGTATTGATCATTTAGAAAAACATTGGTTCACTGAAATATGCAGATCTTCCAAATGTTGATACATTTCATTATACAATATAAAAAACACTACATTTGTTAATATCACCACCAATCTCATCTGAAGAATCTTTTAGGGGAAGCTATTAAACTCACCATAGCAGATACAAGTTTTCTAGAATTCTCATTTTTACTTGAAAACTATAACTTGTCATTAGCAACAAATACCATAAGTATTTCCCATCAATTGTTTCCCTCGAAATAATAGGCTCACTTTATTCATTTTCAAGAACATGTCTGCTAGAATCACAAGTCTGTAACTTTTGATTGCCCACCATACTTTCAAGCAAAAATGGTGTTCTTTAGAAAAAGCAGCTTGTACAGTTTACACGTAAGTGTAATCACTTAAATGCTTTGCATGGAGACGACCAAGATACTTCAGAATGTAGCAGAAATGCTTGATGCCTACCTCCCATTTCACTACACAGAATATTGCAAAGAGTACACAAGCAAGGGTAGAAATTACATACAATTGGTAATATTTACTGCTTTATTAAGTACATTCCAATTGAATCTGGCATTTTTTTAAAAGTCGCTAATTCATGGCAGTGACCGATATGATGGCTACCAGTACTGTATGATGCTACTGAGTTTCTCCATGCTCAGGCACCGAAAGTTTTACCAGCCATTGCTTTCGTTCCATCAGTGCACATGTCAACATAGTGAAAAAGATTACATAATAACAACGTTTTAGTGTTAGTACGAAAGCCATGTTGTCCACACATACCCCAGGGGTCTGCAGATCACCTTTGAGAACCACCAGTTGGAGTTTTCTCTCAGAGCTCACCTTCTCGCCATATTTCTATGGCATGTAGTGGACGGGCTGAGCATTTTGGTGTTTGGTTCTTTAAGCCATTTCAAGGATTTGCATATCACATTGTGTTTCTTAAAAGATTTATGAAATTCACAATGTATACTTTA